CCAACCCAGCGAGGACCGCATCCCTGTGACTTGAGACAAGCGGGAGAAAGGAAGGCTGTCATTAGCTTAGCATGCTCCATTTCCCTCTCAAAACAGATTTTGTGTAAAATTTAAATTAAAAGAGACAAGAGCGATGTGGTTACTTGTTTTCCCCCAAACAACACCGCAGCTAGATGTCTTGAAAGTCCAAGTGTTGAATGTTTCACTGTTTTTCCTGAGGCTACAGAAAGATTAAGTTGGAAATACACACACACACACACACACACACATACACACACACACACACAGGAGGGGGGGGTTCCCCCCATGGGAATTAGAAAATAAAAACTAGAAGAAGAGATAAGGCCCCTGAAAGGTGATCAGCAGGAACCACTGTCTCTGCTGTCTAAAATTAATCTCCCTGGATGGAGTCTCTAGATAAATTTATTCGTTGTAACTCAGTTAAGGAAAAATGAATGATGGAGATCCTAGGAGACCTATTATTGCCCCCAGATGTCCCTAGATTTGGTGGAGAGTACACTACAAAATTGCAAGACATCTGAAGAACATGCCTGTGTCACTGATATGCCTTCCCTGGCACCAACCTAGCTAGCGCCTCAGTGTGCGTGACTAATCTTAGGAGCGAATCTGGATGTGTGTGGCATTTCTATCATGGGTGGCCAGACGTTCCCCTTAGGGACAAACCGGAAACCCACCTGGAAAACCCTTCACCAGCCTGGAACTTGTGAACAAGAAGGTGAACAGAAGCGTTGGAAAACCAGTTCGTCCTGTGTTCCGCCTCACCATGGACTCCGCTTCCAAAAGGACAGGCTATCTCAGAAAGGCTCAGCAGAGCTCTCCCCACACAGCCATTGACTTTGTCGTTCCTGAGTAGCAGTCTATCCCGTGCCAACTGGTCCCTATCTAAGTCAAGCCGAGATGTTTCAGGGTCAAACAAGAATGGAGCCAGAGGGAAGGAAAGAGAGAGGGAGGCAAAGAAGTGAGAGAAAGCAGGGGAAAGGCCTACTCTAAACGGCATATAGTTTTGCTTCCGTATTCAAACTAAATGGCATAGTGGTGCCATCTACGTCTCCAAATAATCCTGACTGAAATCCAAAAAAGAGAAAAAAAGAGGTGGATGTTTGTCTTGGCTGATGTCATCATTCATGGGTGAGTAGGCAGTGGAGCCCAAAGATTAGGGTTGAGCTCAGGGCCTCTACTAGGCCCAGATCCTCAAAGTCTCTCTTGCTCCATAAAATAAATCTGTAACCTGGTCTGTTGAAAAAGGAGATGTGTCTTAAGACAAGTGTGTCTCAAACTATGAGCTAAATTCCCACCAAAAAATTCACTGATCATGACACTTAGTAGCTTCAAAGTTACTTCCAGAAATCTTCAGCTCACCTTCCCCATAACAGAGAAAATAGACTGCTCAAAACTGAGCTGAAGTAAAGGGATTGTGATAGCGAACACTAATGGGTTGGGGGATGGTCCACAGTGTATGAGGGCTGTTACACTTAATGAACAGAATCCTCCTTGCCAAGTTTGACTTTAGACTTGAGAAAGACGAAGGACTGTTCTCCAAAGGCCCTAATCTGATAAGGGAAGCTCAGAGTCTATGAGAAAAACATAGACAGCCCACAGATGCCTACCCAGATGACCAACAGCAGGAAGACCGTGAAACAAGTGCTTAATTTTCTTTGAAAAACTCAGACAACATTTCTTTAGAAGAGAGATTATTCTTGCAGGTATGATCAGCAATCTGGATTTTTTGGTTAGAGTTGGCAGTGAGGTTGGGGACAATCATTTCCACATGTCTGAAAAGGTTTGGAGTGATAACGAGGTCTGTGCCCACAAACCATTATTTCTCCACCTCGTCCGTGCTAACTATCTGATTCTTGCTAGAATGATTGAAAATGCCACTGTCAAGTTTTGTTCTGTTTTAGCACGGGAGGTCTCAGAGAGCATATGAATAGGCTCCTCCTTTCTCTTTGACAGTGAAAGCTCTAGATTATGAGGGTAGCACAGTGGTAGAGCACTTCCCTGACACACGCGAGGCCCTGTGGTCCAAGGGCAGGAAGATAAAGGTCTACGAGAAACGTGACTTGCCAGGGCTGCATGGCTCAATCGTGGCAGAGCCCATTAGCAGAGCTGCTGGCTCAAGAGCAGGGCACTTTCCATTACAGTTGCTCTGCCTTCTTAGATTGTGAGTCACAGGAATTACAGGAACAGGCCATGGGATATTTCAGATATGCTGCAAATTAAAGTTACAGATTTGGCACAATGGAACCAAACTGGACCAAAAAATATGGGTTATATAACACCATAAGAAACAGGCCATGATTGAGGTCCAGTGTAACAGTGAATTTATTCTTAGGTCACTAGACTACAGGGTTAAGGAACTGTCCTGTCCTTCCAGATGAGTTATTGGACTTCTTGGTTATCACCTTTCAGAATGGCTGGGGCCCAGTGAAGCCGTGAGCTGTCCTGTAGCAGTAGGATATCCTGTCATCCCCAAATGTCAGAGGCTTTAAAATTACTTTTGTTTAAAGGTGGAGGCAGTGGGGACTATAACAAGAGCATCATTAAAACTTAACTACTCAATCATTAGCCTCATCCTTTTGCACAGAATCTTTTGTCCCATCTCTTATAACCCTAAGGACCACACCCACCACAGCAAAGCTCTGAGATAAAACTGCTAATACCAAGACTTTTTTAAAACACCAGAGGCCCTGAAATAACAAAGTCACTGTTTTATATGTTTAGTTTTTCAGTTTGGACCAAAACTGTAATAAATACTATTCCTTCACCAACTAGCCCTGACCCATCTCAACCCCTTCCCCTACCCACCTCTGCCTCCAGGAAAATGGAGCCTCATTAAAATGATGTGGAAAGATGTGTCGGGACACAAATGCCTGCACACAAAAGTGCCTATGAGCTAAATCAGTGAGCTAAAGGTCACACATTTACCAATTTGACAAATAAAATAAAGTTAGTGTTATTAGAAGACTTGTAAACTTTTTGAAACCCCTAAAATCCTTCCATGTAAGACACATTGTCAGGGACTTGCTTTGAGAAAGGGTCTCCTACTCAACTCTCTACCTGGAAGCTACTTTGCAAAATGAATGTAACTGACTCCATTTTTATTGACACCAAAAACTATAGCTCCATCTTGAGGAAGTAAGGAATTGACAAGAGACTGAGAACCAATCTAGGGCATCAGGCTACCAAGCTAATAGCTTGTTCCTGTTGGTCTAGGCTTCACTAACTACATTCTGTAAGTCTCATTTGTGTTAAGCATAAACAGAGGAGAGAAAAGCACTATTCTCTCAAAGTTATTGGCCACTGTTGGCTGTAGGCCTAGAGATAATCAACCCAGTACTACCTGCCAGAATGTAGGCCACCACATCGCTACTCAGTATTGTAAGCTCAGGTCGACCCTCCTGACCATCTTTCAGTTTCAGCTCTACCCTTCTTCCTCAACATAGAATTCATCATTTGTGCGGTGCTTCTGAGTTATGAACAATAAAGATCACGTTTTTCAGTCTTTCTTATGATCTTCCTAATCATCTGAAATCATACCGTTTCCATGATTAACCTCTAACCAATGAGACAGCAATATAAAGTGTCATTAAAGGAAAGGCATGTTCATCCATCTTTCCTTCCTCCTTGTTGATGGCTGGATTACATGCATGGTAAGTGTCGGGCACTTCAACAACCATTTTCTAGTGTGAGAGGAAAAGTCTAGGGGATATAGCAGGGGCAAGAAGGATGATTGGATTTGATGCCATAAAGCGTAACCCAAGCTTGGCCTCTGCTTCCTGAATGAGGGAAAATGAATACTCGGCATGTTCTGTTCCTTGTTAGTTAGTCGGGAACTTTCTCCCAATTCTGTTTTGTGCTGCAACATGAATGAAACATGAGGCATTATGCTAAGTGAAGGAAACCAATTTCACAATAACCCAAACTGTTAGACACAATAACATTCACTGTTTGACTCCACTCACAAGGTACCTGCAGGAGCAAAATCATAGAACTGGACACAGAATGGAGGCTGTAGGGTCTGTGGCAGGAAGGAACAGGGAACTATTAATGGGTGTAGAATTCTACCTTGCAGGGCTGGAAAGATGGCTCAGTGGTCAAGAGCACTGGCAGTTCTTCCAGAGAACCTGGTTCGATTTCCAGCACCTACTTGGTAGCTGACACCCATCTATCACTCAAATGCCAGGATATTCAATGTTCTCTCCTGATTTTCCCTGGACACAAGGCATGTTCAAGTTGTACATACAGACAGAAAGGCAAATCCTTCAGATACAAAAAAATAAATAAATAAGTCTAAAATATCTTTGCAACATGAAAGGCATTGGGGCCTGGGAAGAGGGCTGAATGGGCAAAGGCCATGAGGACCTGAGTTGGGATCCTCAGCACCCACAGTAAGAACTGGGCGTGGCAACACTAATCCAAAACCAGCTCTAGAGTGGTTGACCAGGCAGTTCCTGGGGACTTGCTGACAAGCAATCCAGGTAAAATGACAAGACCCAGGTTCAGCAAGAGACCTTGTCTCAAAAAAATAAGGAGACAGTGATAGAAGATACTTGATATCAGCCTCTGACTTCTGCATGCACCTACACAGGCATGTATACTTACATACACACTGGTCACACACACGTGTGTATGCACACACACACATTGTGTGTATATACATAAATGAAAAAGAGTTGTAGAGATTGGTCCCACAGCAATGTAATGATTAACATACTTAACACTATTATTAGAATGAATATGGACATTCCCCATGTGCATTATATTATGAATTTAGAATTTTTAAACCTTTAAATAAAAAGGTTTATATATGATTTTCATTGTTATCAAATTAACATCATCGTTATCCAAAAAAGTAGAGATGGCAAACACCAAGGAAAGTTTTATCAACACATGATGATTGTGTATGGGAAGGAAGGTATCTCTTCATTAAATCCTTCTAACAAGAACACGGGACAGATATTATAAAAAGCACCGTTTTTTTAATCTGGGAAAGATTTAAAACAAAAGATAAGAACACTGTCCAAGATCACACAAGAATTTAAAAAAATCAGGCAGTCTGCCCCAAGAGCCCAAGCAAACGTGTGGATGCTTTGCTGCTTTGATTGCTTACAGTATTACTTCTAAACAATCATATAAAGTTACGGATGTTTATCTCTCCTTAATAAGCAGTGGTGACTTCCAGCTTTGTACTGCAATTAGGCATTCTTCAGTGGTCACATTAATATTCACATTTATTTTGTTAAGGATAAATCCATTCATTGGCGTGAATATAAAGCCTTCTGAGTTATGCATTTTTTATTTCTTAGTGAAAGATCATTCTTTCCTTTGGTTTTCGGTTGTTCTGTGCTACGTTGATGGAGTCACTCAAATGAGACCTTGGAGATGTTTAAAGATGCCAAGAATTTACAATGAAATAAGTCTTATTAAAAACAAAACCTATCCATTCCTTTGACTTTCCAGGATTCGCTGGTTGTGAGGTATAAATATGTATTTAGAGAAATCTTAAAAAGTGATGTCCTTGCCCGCTGTCCCCTCTGGGGTATCAGACCAAGTGTCTGTGAAGTAGGAAACAATTCCTGCTAGGTTTTATCTCCTGAAAACTGTTTGCCAAAAAGCAGTCTTCTTCAACTTGAATTCTTTTTCCTTCCCCAAGCTGTGCTTTCCAGTAATCTCTCATTATAAAGATAATAACCATATTCATTAACAGTTCCTCCATCAATCAGAAGGCAGTAAAAGAATAAATCTCAAGTCACCAACACTTAAGCTGTCAAAGGTATTCCATCAGTGCTAGCCTAATTGATAATAGCTTGCACCAACTGGGCTGGTCAGTGGTGATTACTGAGGGAATGAAACTGATTTCACCAATGTGCAAAGCACCACGGGGAGCTCTCAAGTGTGCCATTGATGTCCCATCTTATCTTAAGGTTTTTTTCCCCTCAGTGCCCTAGAGGCACAAGGCAAGTTGATTTGCTTTATGAGCCTGTTTCCCCATCAAATAAGAGGGCAAAATGGTTTCACCTCTTCCTGTTTGAACATGAAATGGATTTCTAAATTATATTTATATCAACAAAAACTAGAGCCTGTGGAGTATGAAAGGACCCTCAGAAAGTATCTAGCTCAACTCTTTCATTATTCCAGAAATCTGAAAGTGAAATAAATTAGACAACTTGCCCAGAGTTGTGGTGGACATTATCTTCCAGAAGACGAACATCCTTTTGGGAAAATATCACTCAAAACATGGTTCCACTGAGAACTGCCGATCATAAAGCTCCCCACTCCATCCGCACATGTTAGCATGGGAAACTGATGTGGTCCAAGCTAGGTCAATAGGCTCTCATCTCTGGCCACATTCATTGTTCCAGGATAAGGTGACCTCTACTTCTCTCCAGAACTTTTACAACTTTAGTTGTGGAGAAACGACTTTCTCCCCTCTATATGAAGTCAGCTTCCGAGGGAGAACTGAGCAGCTGTTGGCCAGCCAGACATCATTGGCAACGTAAGTCTATAAAATTAATATAGCATTAAAATAGGACCCATGTTAATAATGGTGCTATTTAACAGCATTACATGATTAATGTATCATCTCAACATATTACAATAAGGCCCTGGCATACGTAGTGCCCCAATTTAAATGACAGAAGCCAAGTGTAGAAATCATTAGATATTAAGACAAGAACTTCAAGGGAGCAAAGAGATCAGAGAAAGCTGGCCTTGCTGGTCCCTCAGATCACAGGATACAGATGTCAGCATCCTTTTCCTCACTCTGAAGCCTGCCTTCATCTTCTCAGCTCATGGTACTCTTTGCTGGGCAAACCAAGCAATCAATCCTGAGGCCACTCCAGTAAGCAAACCCCACATCCAGGAAAGCTATTACGTGTGGGCAGGTACTGCATCCCCACGGAGGCCTTCCTTTTGCTCATGCGGCTCTCATCAGACTTGCATAATTCCCACTGCTCTTGGGCTTTGAGACACTATATTGTCTTGGGCATATTACAAAGCTTTTCAATGTATAGACATACATGTATTTTATTTGTGGAAATAGGAAGGAGTTGGAGAGAACCCACCACCTTTCCTGAATATTATAATTGAAGTGGGAAGAAAAAAAATCAATTCCGAGGGAAGAATCCAGTTCTATTGCATCTCTCATCCCAAGAGACGCTTCTGATGGGCATAATGGCTGGACATTAGCCCTCGCCTTCTAACAGATGCAATTAAATGGACCCCAGACAAAACAAACAAGTAAATGGCAGTCTATTTATAGGTCACTTTGTTCCTTCCTGCTAGAAATAGCTCGCCTCCTGGGCATGGGACAAATGCTTGGATCACCTGAGAAGGTGTCACTCTGCTCCTTAGCATCAGGAGCCCCTGGAAAGTGTTGGCATGAGTGGGAGCCTCCTATCCCATCCCACCGGGGCACTGAGTGGGGTGAGAACATGCTTATTGGTTTCAAAGTGGGTCACCAGGCCTCTGCTCTAGCTTTATTTCCCCAGAGGCAAATGGGTGGGCTTAAAAACCCAAAAACTGGCATTGTTCATTTTAATACTTTTCTTAGATTAGGATAAGTCATGACTTTCTCTTCTAGTTTGGAAAATAATCTTCATGGTGCCTGAATTATTCTCTGTAGGTCAGGGTACCATAAAGGTGACACCTTAGAGTTCAGCCTGTGAGAAAAAAAAACAACAAAACACTCTGCTCAGCTCAGTGCTCTAACAGGTAAGGGGTTTGCGATTTGTTCTTCTAATGGAATATATACTTTTCTGATATTCTAATTCATCCTAGTGGAATACACACTTTTCTGATTCGCAGTGCACTAGGAAACAGCATGGCGATTGCGCAAGCAGTTAAAGCTTCTTTCGATGAGCAAAGTAACCTACAGACCTTCCAGATCCTTGAAACCCAGGGTGCTTCTGCTGGGTGAGCGGCAACAGAAGGTTTTCCCAAGGGAGCCCCAGACTCCGCCCAGATCCACTAAGTCAGAAACCCTTGTTAGAATACACTACATGCTAACAAGGTAGCTAAAAAAGGCCTTATTCTGCAAATGACCATAGAAGCAGGAATGAATGAAGGTGAAATTCTCTGCTATAAAGCCTTTATCTGAGGTGTCTGGGCTTTCAGGCTAAGGCGGGCCACCTCAGCAGGCAGGTGGGAGCTCTCTGTGACCGGTCCCCCAAGCTGGATACTGTCTCACACTGGGAAGGGTAGAGAAATCGGTTAAGTCAGTTCAGGTGTTGTGACACTTATGGACCTCAGAACTGGAGTGACCTCATTCTAAACAGTTGTGTTTGGGGCTCTTTAACCCGCTTTGAAGTGAAGACAGTAATATTGATGGTATCTTTCATGTGGTTTAAATATAGTAATTAAAACACAGCTCCCCTAGCACGGCAGTGGCCTGGAAGGTACACTTTCAGCTGTGTGTTCTTTGAATTCTTTGATTTTTAATACTCCCCCCACACCCTTAGAAATAATGTTTAGAAATGAGTTCGTTCCTCACTGTTTCGCCTAGGGACAGTACATAGACCGACCCCTTAAGTGGCGCATTCTCTATTGGGCTGCCTCAGGACGGGAGAGCGGTGTGCTCTGCACCGCGCGTCCTGTAGGTGGCAGCACCGGGACCGTCTGAGCACGGAGCCATGGTCTCAGCAACTCAGGACTCTCTTGCTGAGCCAAGGATGGAGGAAGCTGGTATACCCACGCGTAGGAAAACTGTACCTTCCAGTACTTTCCAAGGCTTCCTTCCGGGGACTGGAGAGCGGCTCAGCTGCTAAGAGTGCTTGCTCCTCTTCCAGAGGACCCTAGCTCTGTACCCAGCACCCATGCCTGACCATCTCAACTGCCTGTAACTTCAGCCACAATGGGAATGCAAAACCTCTGGTCTCTGAGGGCGCCTGCACTCACTTATATATTTCATATACTGCACAGGCACACATAATTAAAAATAAAGCATGTTATCGCTTCTTAGCCCTTTGGTTAAGATCAAGTGTAAAAATAAAGCATTTGCCTCCTATGCATTTTGTTTTGTTTGTTTTTGTTTTACATTTGTATGGTTTCTCTCTGGGAGTGGGGATGATTTTAGCTAAGAACACCTTTGAGGAAAGCCTTCTGATCCAGCACTCTCTACCCTAGGAAGTCTTTTGGGATTGTGCCAGCCTCCCTCTAACACTCTGGGCAGCTCCACCCCAGGGAGGCCCCCAGCTCCAACAGGGAGGTCCAAGAGGTCGAGATGATTCTCAAAGGATGCAGGAAAGGAACAGTAACTGCACACACTCCCGAGGTGACTGCCCTGCACAGTCTTCAGCACTCTGAATGCCTTAGCAAAGACGCTAAGCTAGGTCAGGGTGTAGGCAGGATAGTCAGTAGATTGCCTAGAGTCAGATAGCAACGAAGCTTCAAATCCAAGCAAACTGACTCTTGAATTGGTGTTTCCTTTCAGTGAAAGACTACAAAAGCAAGCAAGCAAAAGTGAAAGAAGAGAGCAAGGATGGGTATGTGGAAGGGCTTGGAGGGAGGAAAGGGAAGAGAGAAATGATGTAATTATATTATAATCTCAAAAATAAAAACAAAAAGGAAGAAGCAAGAAAAGCAAAGGCCAGTGGGACATTGCTTGCAAACAAAGTGCTTTCTGAGAGTTCTGCTACGCACAAATAACTAAGATACTAGGTTCTGTCATGGTCGGATGTGGGCTAATATCAGACAGGAGGGATCAGAGGTACTGGTCTGGCAACAAAATAGAGGATCCCCTTCAAAAAAGCACCCAAAAGTAATAGAAGAGTCTGTTAAGAAAGATACCTGGGACTGGAGAGACAGAGGACCCAGGTTCAATTCCCAGCACCCACAGGTGACTCACAAAGGCCTGTAACTCCAGTCCCGGGAGATCTAAAGCCCTCTTCCAGCCCCCATGGGTACTGAACATTGTGGTGGACAGATGTACATTTGAGTAAAACATGCATACTTAAAAATAATTTTCGATATGAAACCTCCAACAAGATTAAGACAAGGTCTTGCCCAGTGTTGGTTATATAGTGCCTACAGTCTCTTTCATTCTGTTGCCAGAGAAACACAACTTTCTTTTGTTCTCCAGGAAATTGAAAATACTGGTATAATGCCATGAAAAGTTTCCTTTCGTGGACTTTGCAATTCAAACATATCTGGTTCTACTTTTCTCCTTTTTTGTTGCTGTGTGTGGATATGGGGGGTGTGCAAATGCACGTGAAGGTCAAAGGTGGATAACAGGTATCCTCCTTGATGGCTCTCCACCGTGTGTGTGTGTGTGTGTGTTGTTGTTGTTGTTGTTGTTTGTTTGTTTGTTTGTTTATTCTTTTTGGTAACATCTGTCACTCTATCTGGAGCTCAGAGCTCATCAATTGGGCCAGGCTTGCTGGCCAAAGGCTCCAGGGACCCACCTGTTTCTGTTCCCCCAACAATGGAATTATATGTTAATGCCGCTTGCCCAGCTTTTATATATTGACTCCTGGAGGACCAGACAGATCTTCATAGTTGTGGAGAAGGTCCTTGACCAATGGAGTCATATCCCCAGTCCCCTCGTTCTAATCTTGAACTCAAGTTCTATTCTTGAACTTGAGAGCCTATAACTTAACCAATGCTAAACCAAGCAGAGCTGTTTGGACAGTGCCTGACTTGGGATGGGAGCTTCCTAACAGTTATTGTAGTGGCATTTCTCAGCGTTTACCTTTTCAGCCTCCATCATACCAAATCAGAAATTCTGGTCCTCCATACACTGCTAGACTAAGGGCTCTGCAGCCAAGCGACATGCTGTGATTGGTCCAGACCATCACCCCCTAACTTGGGAGTTGTCTAAAAGGGACTGTTAGACTCCTTACACTGCCACTAGGTTGCCACACATCCCCCAGTTGTCTGTACCATCTGTGTCTTCCCTGAGGTCTGGGCCTCAGTACTGTGAAATGCATACTGTTCCAGTTCTGCTTAGTCATTTCCTGCTTCTAAGACAGTGTTTTCTGGTTTCCCCTCCTAATCCTATGCTGTAGAGTACCCACCACCACCAATAAGCAGCCATACATGGCTATGGAGCTTAATTAAACCCTGAAAATTCTCTTCTCATTCACACTATCTGCCTTCCAGGTCCTTGGTGTTCACACGTTTTAGACAATGCCGATTATAGAACATTTTTATTATAGCAAAAACCAAATGAGATTGGGCTGACCAGAAGGGTGTGTCTAAATTCTAACTATACTTAGGGGCTAGCCTATATGAACTAGACAAAAGAGATACTTCTGGGCCCTCCCAGATGCACATTAACTTTCTCAATGCAACAGGTAACACAGACCAATTCAGCCAACTCACTGGTGACCACGGAAGCACCCAAGGTCTCAGGTCACATGCTACTTCAGGGACAACAGCTCCTTGGCCTTAGTATGTGACGGATAAGTGTGCACAGAGCCTAGGGGCACTAGGAGGCCTAATTTATTCTTCCACTATTTTATACATACATGATGGTCTCTGATCATAGTTGCCCCGTTAGCCTCTTCTCCTCCCACTAAACCCCTTCTCTTCCCAAGTCCCTCTTCTATTTTCTTTCTGGTTCTTTTACATTTTTTTATATTATAAAAACAATGGAGAGTTAACTCTATCCCTTAACTTGGCATGATTCAATTATGAGGGATTTAAAGAATTTGTCAAACACATAAAAACATTTCTCTCTGTTTGCCACGGTAACCTGAACAGCCAGGCAAACTTCTGAGGTGCAAAATCCCCACCAAAGAGACTTAAAGGCTGTCCAGGTAACTCCAAGAAAGGAGAAGGCATTACACACACACACACACACACACACACACACACACACACACACACACACGGGGCTGGAGGGTTGGGGGGCGGGGAAGGTGGGATATGGGGAGGGTGGGCAGATCAGAAAGGGAGTTGAGGCTTGATGGTTCCCGGATCAGGAAAGGGGACTCAGTTCAGATCAGGGGTCAGCTCCAGCTGCCTGCACAGATCACGGAGGGAAGATGGAAGGCAGAGGGACTGGAAAAACGCCATGATGTTAACCGAAGGGAGCATGGTTGCTGATTCCTAAGCATAAATAGCTCTGTCAAAAGCTCTTCCACAGCAGAGGCCCTCAACCTTCCGCATGCTGCAAACCTTTAATCCAGCCTCTCACGTTGTGGTGACCCCAAACATAAAATTGTTTTCATTGCTACTTCGTGGCTATTATTTTGCTACTGCTATGAACTGTAATGTAAATATCTGATATGCAACTTTTCCAATTTGACTTTTAAAAGAATATTCACAGGAGAAGCTAGGTTTGGCCTCAGTTATGCAAACCATATTCGGAGCAGAACGAGTCATCTGTAAAGTTGATGCTAACACAGACCTACTATGAAAATACACAAAAATACACAAAAGTTTTCTGTTTGTTTTTCGGGGGGGAATGTAAATAAAATAGAAGCAGCTTGCTTTTCATGATGCCTAACTCTAGCAAAACTCATAGCACAAAAAGTTTTTAATATTCAAAGTAACATTTGCATAGTGTTAGTATTTTCCATCACAATCAGAGCTCCCACAGGCTGTCTGAATTCAAGTAAAATGCTCAGCCACTCCAGGAGTTAGTGATGCTGGGTCCTAGGGCCACACACACGCCATCAGTGTTCAGGCAAACAGCCTGGCCACCCAGGTCTTAAAGCCCTACATAATCTGTGCACGTTGTGGTCACATAATCTATGTGTGTTGTAGCTGTGGAAGCCCCTATGTGCATGCACTCTAAGGCCTTTAAAAGTAGACATGCCTGTCGGGCGGTGACAGCACACTCCTTTAATTCCAGAACTCAGGAGGTAGAGGCAGGCAGATCTTTGTGAGTTCGAGGCCAGCCTGGTCAATAGAGTGAGTTCCAGAACAGACTGGAAAGCTACAGCAAGCGAAAAAACGAAAGTGGACATGCCCACTCTACCTCTTTCTCACCACGCTGTCTTCAGACAGGTCTGCACACCTTTTCTCCCGCCACCCTACACTCGCTTCCCCCACTCTCTCTGTTAAAAAAACAACCACTTAAAGTGGGTTTCATTGTGCATCTTGCGATCCGTTCTCACGCCCAGAAATATCACATAGGACAGTGTTTCTTTTGAAGATGGAAGTAACTCCCCAAAAGAAGAACTCCCTACCCCAGCGATTCCTTAGTAGATTCTAGCACTAGGTATCATCATTAACTAAATTACCGGGTGACATCTGGGGTCTGGGTCTGTATCTGAAGGCGGGAAGCAGATCACTGATCAAGGTCAGACTGTGGGTCTCAGCAGAGAAGGGCCAGCAGTGGCTGCATCACTCTCAAACCCAGAGACATCTGACTTAGTTCGTCTTTGGATACTCCGCCTCAACACTTGGTGCTGTCTGAAGGATGGGGCAATAATTTAAGTGATTTGTAAATCCACATTTTATAGTTCAGTACAAATCCAGATCAAGATGAAGCTCAGAAGCCCTGAATAGTGGCTGGTCCCAGAACAGTACCCATATCTCTCAGACCAACAATAACTTCAAGAGGTGGTGTGGATGAAAATTCCTAAAGTTGCTTGGTCTGCAGGCACATGGGACATAAGTGGAATTGGTGTAGGATCGGGACAGCATTGTGGTGTAAGTGTGCTCGGGTGGCACACAGGGTCCTTGACTCAGAAGATCTCTTTACTGGTTTTCTGCTGTCCTGTTGCATCTTGGTAATTTGAATGAATTTTTTCAAAGGCTCCATCTCACACTTTTTTTTTTTTTCAAGACAGGGCTTTTTTTTTCTGTTAATCATTCTGTAGACCAGGTTGGCCTTGAACGCAGAGATACCCCTGCCCCTGCCTCCTGAGTGTTGGAATTAAAAGCCGGCGCCACCACTGCCCAGCTTCTAGCTCATATTTTAATTTTTCACTGGGCTTTCCAAATTGTACAGATGTACTTTGACATCTGAGTGGTTGCCTCTTGTTTAAACCCATCACAAATTGAAAACATTAAGCTGAAAATGCATTTGGTATCTAGCTAGCTCAAAGACTATTTTATAACAGATTTCTAAACGCTTTGTGTCATTACTGACCTGTGCGTCGTGCTGCAGAGTCCTGTGGCCTTCGTGATCACGTGGCCGAGAGATCGTCCCACAGTCAGCTAACCTGGGAGAAGACCAAAGCTTCACACGTAAAGTATGATTTCGACTGAATGCGCACAGCTTCTGTATCAGCGTGATTGTAAGTGTTCTGCCAGAAGCAAAGGCATTTGAGGGAGAGATGCTTGCTCAGTTGCTGGACAACTGAGACGGTGAGCCCAGTACATTGAATTTCTCCAGGTTTTCCCCATGACTGAGGCTTGATGCCATTCAGAGGAAGACTGTCTCCCAGGAAGATAGTTCATAGTTCTGACAGTTCAGGAGAGATTGGAACCAAGATAATGAAGGCCAAGGATGGGCAGGACCATACCTTGAAGACGACTGCTTAGTTATGCATACGTCTTTCCCTCTATTTACATCTAAAGATAAATTTTGGGGTCACTGGATCTTTCTGTTACTTATTCCTCTTCCCAGTGTGGCTACATGGAATTATTTCTCTCTCTCTCTCTCTCTCTCTCTCTCTCTCTCTCTGTCTGCTTTTCACTATTGCTAGTCTCTCTACCTGGCTTATTAAAGGACAAATGGCCAGATCTAATTTGTTAGAACTACCGGCTGACGATCTGAGCCTCAAAATTCTGGAGTCAAAAAAAGTCATAAACCTTCGTAAATCAGAGACTGTCTGTATAGCATGTTCTGAAATAGATAGTCTACCCATGGTTCTTGGGAGCCTTCTGTCTCCAGAAGACCTAAAAAAGACAGGAGGAAATGTAATAGGGTTATTCCTGCTGTTGCAGGGAGTGTTGGGAGTGTGGACAGGTGGATAAAAGGCATCCAAGATGAAACCAGGAGATCAGGTGAGAGAACCCCAGCTGTTCTCGTTTACTTTCTGTTACTGTGACAAACACCATGACCAAAACCAACTTGGGAAGCATTGGGCTTCTTTCATCTTACACTTCCCGGTAACAGTCCGTCACTGAGGGAAGTTGTGGCAGGAACTAAGGTCAGGAACTGAAGCAGATACTGTGAAGGAACTCTGCTTACTGACATGCACCTCACAGCTTGTTCAGCCTGCTTGTGTCTACAACGCAGGATCATCTGCCCAAAGGTGGCACCAGCCACAGAGGACTGGGTCTTCCCACATTCATAATTAATTAAGGAAGTGACATAGGCCACTCTGATGGAGGCAATTCCTCAGTTGAGGGTTCCTCTTCTCCACTGATGCTAATTTGTGTCAAACTGACAAAAAAGAAAAAAGAAAAAAACCAGCACACCAGGTGATTGACAGCAGAGGCTGTGTGGATGGGAGCTTTACTTGGAAAGTGGACTCCATAGGATTTGTGGAAAGATAAGCACAAACAGTTACAAACAGAACAGAAGCCATAAGATCTCAGACCCTATCTTCCAGCAAGCCAAACTTCTATCCAGTTTGCCTAAGAGATGTTATCTATTCCTCCTTCACAGTAACAACCCCGGGGGAGGGATTATGAGCTGCATCCTGCAGATAAGAAGAATGGAACTCAAAGGGTTCCATGTGGGCTCCAGCAAGTAAGCCGAGGAGACACTCAGAAAAGCAGGGCCAAAATATTTCCTTTGCACACCACACTGTGCCGATGCTAAATGCCAGGGCCAATCCAGAAAAGACAAAATAAAAGAGCAAGTGGAGCCTAATTTGGGTTCTTACCTTTAATCTCTCCTTGTGAGCCACTTGTTTGCTAAAAGTGAATTAGCACTGGGGTACCATAATGAACTCACCCCAAGAAGAAAAGACACCCTACCAGGCTTCTGTGTAGGAGAAATGAGTTCCCCTAGCTCTTTGAAGCATTTTAACAACCTGAAATTGCCCGCATAGGTATCTGTGAAGGCTGTTTCATACCAGGCTACTTTCACAAAAGGCCAGACTGCAGGAGCCCAGAGCTACTCCCAGGGGTCTAGCTAACTACATAAATGGCTCCAGAGTTCACAGGAAACTTGTGCCCTGAAGGCTAAGAGGACTGAAAGGCATTTGCCATCCAAATGGGAAATGAAGGGGAGGAGGGCGGGTAAGGTTGTCAGCTACAAATAAAGGATGGGACAGGAACAGATTAGAACCAAGGAGCTGAGTTAGAATAGGTATGGAGAGGGTAACTGATTCAACTGGTGGCCAGAAGGGCCCGTCTCAACGGGTGCCACTGATATCACCACGGGAAGCCTACGGAGGACGGCAGCCCTGTGTTTCCAACCCAAGTTATTGAGAAGTGAGACTTTAGCCTGGATTTTAGTAACTACTGATGCATAGCTACCCAGAACAACTAATTTATTTATGATTATGGAATCTGCATCATGGAGATTTTTAATAATGTACAAGCGCTTAGCCTACAGCTGCTCCAAGGTGTCTAGAGTGTTCGCTGTGGAAATACAGAGACAGGGGCTCAACAGTTACGGGACCGTGGTCTAGAATCGTTTGGAAATGTCCTCCCTCATACTTAGTGGTTACTCAGAGCTTTCCGTTGGGACCGCATTTGGGCCTGTTGAACCTCACGTGAGCTGGAGCACCGCGCCATTCAGAATTCCCACATGGACGCTCTGAGTTTGGAGCATAAGTATGCCGGGAAAAACTTCTGAAGACTTCTCAGAAACCTGCAGTCACGCCTCCAGCTTATTGGTTACACACAACAGATGAACCCAGTGCATTTAAACAGCCTCCTCTAGGAAGAGTAGTGTCAGAGAATACTTAACTCCACACCCCGGGGGCATAGGCTCTTCGAAGGTCTGGGAGCCTACTCTTACCTCAGCATCAGGGAAGAAGGTGGAAATGGGATGCGCAGTTTGCAGAGCACACACAGGAAGCGCTTTCCTCTGCGCCCAGGCCTGCCCTCTCACTCCTCCAGCCCCTTTCTTATCCTGGGAAGCCCTGTGGTTTCTGCCTTACCTAACTTGGCATCTCAGTGAGGGCTTCATTACCCTAATAATATACTTGCCAAAGTCGAGAGTCTCGTTCTTTGTTTTCTTTGAAAGCTCCTTGTTGCTGTTGCTCGGTTTTCAAAGCCCCTGTCTAGCAGACGTTATTTCCTCTCTGCCTCGGGACCAACAGGGCTTACAATTCTAGGCACCGCAGGCACGAGTTCTTACTCCACAAATTCTCCGCTTCTAACTTTGGAACCTTGGACGGCTTCTTGAAGTCTCAGTTTCCCCGAAAAGTTTCCTATGGAAATTTTACAAAGATTAAATAGGATGCTGCTGCCTGGCAGAAAACCACACGGGACATACAAGCTGCCTTGATTTCAAACTGTTCTAATAAGGCTATCTGTTGTGTTATTAACTGCCTTCCCACTCTATAGGCATGCCGTGTTGGCCTTCTGGACTCTTACCTACCGCATGCCTTGGGCAATTTCTTTAGCCTTAGTTCTTTGCCACTCATTTTTTTCCTTCTGTGCTAGCATGTGGCAGTGGTACAAGTCTCAGGAGTTCTCGTGATTACATGAGGTTATAAGTACCAAGCTATACTACAAGGTAGACTAGGCTCATGTAAGAATAATTGTGTTCCTTTTCCCATTTCATCTCTACCTCAGCCCCATTTTCTCTCCACTGATACCACACATGCGGTGTTGGAGAGAAAAGGGTGCAAATGTAATACTGTTTCCCCAGTTTCTTCTCCTAAAGTTCCCCTATCAATAAGCATTCCCAACTTTCTACTCTCCCACCAGGAAAGCTCTAATACCCAGACCTTTTGTGAGGGGTAGGTGCCTGGAGATAGCACATCAACCTAATCCGAAACAAGCCAGCAGGAAGGCCCATTAGGTGGGGGCAGCCCCCTTTCAGGGAGGCCTGAGTAGATAAGTCAAGATGGCTGGGCTCCAGCCCCCTGGTGGGGAGGCTGCCGCCTGCATGGCCATAGGACAGAGATTCAATTTCCAGCCTTTGTCCCAAAGGGCAATGTGGTCAAAGCCTGGGTTTTCTCACTCAGGACAAAGATGGGAGTGGTGGGGCAGTGGCTGTCAGGTGTCAGTCTCCCTCTCCAAGCCAGAAAAGCCTTTTTTAAAAAGCATCTCCTTCCAAATGGGATAGGCTGTAAGTGATCCCAGACCCTCTGGGTACAGCCTTTGTCCAAATACCCATGACAGCCACAAACATGTTCCCTGGCTGTACTGCACAAATCACTTTCCCAAAGCGACTGTCAGTTTTCCTTCCTCCTGGTTTTAACAGGAGGAGAAGTTATTTATCATTGAAAGGAATCTGAACTATAGTTTCAGTGTTTACATTCCTGAGGCCCAGATATGGCCCCTGGGAAACTCTGGCCTCAGAGCTAAATGGGCCTCTTCCCTCTGTTCCTTCCTTCAGCTTCCTGCGGAGAGCAGAAGGGCATCATCACTGTTTGGTTTTATTTTTTTCTCACATTGCTCCAGGTCTGCTGGTTTATCCACTTACCCCTTCAACAAGCATTTAATGAGCATTTATTCTGTGCCTGGCAATGCGATCCACCCTGGGTAACTAGAGATAAATTCAACAGGACCCGGCTTTCAAGATGTTCTCTGTGCTTTGTTTTGGTGGGAGATGAGGAGTTGGCCTGGTCCATGAATACCAAAGACACATAAATGTCTGGCTATTAAAGTGCAGCAGGAGGGCCAGGAAGGAGCTGCGGCAGCCTGCAGTCATGGGTGAGCAATGGATGAATGGGCATTTGGCGTGTGGGAAAGGAGCTGGCCAGTGTGCTTCTGGGAGCAGGAGCTCGTGAGCAAAGGTATGCACCACCATGACCTTCTGAAGGACCACAGGTCCTTGGGGACAAGAAGGGCCAGCTGGAAAAGAAGCTGGACGTGTGGGTGGAGCTGGAACTTGCCACGCTCCAGGTCCTGGGCTCTGCTCCAATCCTCCAGAGACCTGTTTTGCCAAATGAGAAAGGCTGGCAGACCTTTCCACAGCCACATCTGGACATGGAGTGGGTGCTTCCTCAGTTTCTCCCATCAGCAAAACATATTCTTCAAGTCTTTTGGGTAGCCTGGATAAGCCACACAGAAAGCATTAGGTGGCTTCCAGTTTTCATTTACTTTATTGGTTCAAAAGGGAAAACATTCATTTATTTTTATGGAACACATGGACTTGGTGATTTTTTTTATATTATTAAAAATGAAATTCTTGGGGAAAACTCAAAAATTTGGTTTCATGGCTT